ATATATATATATATATATATATATATATATATATGTGTGTGTGTGTGTCTATGTAACCCTATTACGTGATATCAATACAATATAGAACTTACGACTCTTTATATAAATATATGTATAGAATTTATATCTATTATGTTTGTGTAAATATGTTTATATAGTCTGTAATTACGAAAGATATTTTGAATTACTATTTAAGTATTTTAACATACATAATTCATATATAATTAGATATTATAAACTAATCTTTGCAAGTCTTGCAGTACATGAAAGTTTGTTTGAAAGTTTGGTGACATGGCCTAAGCCATGTCACTTGCAAGACTTTTGAAAGGTCAAATTAATGACCGTTGTGGATGCTCTTAGGGGATGTTTGATAACGTATTAACCAAACCATTCAGAGTGTCACCTCTTGATCAGTCAGCATTCCGCATGTTTGATACAATCTTTGAAGGAATCAAAAGCCTATGAATGGCCTCTAAACGGTGAAGGAACCCTACCTTCTCTTAACCATTAAGAGGTTGGAATCACTAAACACTAAATGATATGGTAGTTCAGAGTATATTTTCAAGTTTTACAATAATCCTACAACTTATGAATCTTTTTAAAGGGTAAAGCAAATTAGCATGAACCCTCAAAAACATGAAAAGATACACCTTTCTAGAGGAAGGTTTTATCCATGCAAATGTCGCTGGAATGAACAGATTCAGTGCCATATCTAATCAAGAGAGACGGAGGAAAAGAATCTAAAATATTACCGCATGGAATTGACTTAAATATAAATGTTCCATCAGCATCAGATAGGGCATGGCAAAGTGCAGTTCTATGTCCAGAGGGGTTACCAGAACCCTGTGGGCAGTGCACTTCCTTGACATCATCAGAGTACAGATAAAAGTGAACCCCTAAAATGGGGTTTCCCTGAGGCAACATGATAGATATTAGTAATCTAACTCGCTATTCAAACTGAATAAATGAAAAGTATTTCAGTCCATTAAAGTGTGAAGCACATTATGGACTCAGGATGAGCAATTTTGCATTTCAAAAGCATTAAAAAGAGGAAGACTCACTTGTGCAACTACCAATCCACGTATATTGTAACCAAAGACAAAGAAGACATCTTCAACTTGGCTATTTCCAAACCCCAAGTCAACCTAACAGTTTATATGCGGGATGAGAACCATGTAAATTGCTTTTGCATTCCCAATTGAGTGGAAACATAATGGATGAGAAAGATAATAGAAAAGATAGGTATATGTATATGACCTCTGTGGAACCTTTAACTTCAATATTAAGATCAGCATGGGAGGCGCGTAGGTTGTACCTTCCTACACCAAAAAATATAATGCAATTAGATAATGAAAGCAAACCCACCAACAATATCATGTAACAAGCACGAAATTCATCAAACAAAAACATCAAGGATCCAAATTTAATAAATATGATATAAATCTTAAAAATAGCTTTTTGTTTGTGGATTTGTTATGTACATAATTCATAAGATAATAAAAACTATAATACGTGTCATGAGCTCTTAGAATGATTAACTCCTAGCATAGTTAGGTCCACACAAGAAAAAATTTAACCTGGAATTATGTTGGTGAAAGAATAACTTCCTGCTATTGATGTCAAAACAGACGATACAATATTCCCACTGGAATCCAGAAGCTCAACATTTACATTTGATGGACCGCCATCGGTAGACGAACAGCTCTCACCGCCAACTGCTCCCACAACTTTTCCACTAATACTGAATCTGCAAAGACACCACACAGTAGAAGCTCAAGTCCAACACGATATAGACCACATAAGCTCCTAAAAAATATTCCACATAAAGTGAAATAAATTCTACAAAAAAGATTTAGAGATAAGTATGGAAATGACTAATAAGCTAAACCAACCCTGTGAACCGGAAATTTATATCTTCATTTCTATTACATCCAGTATGATCGACAAGCACGGGAACCTACAAAAGTAAAGACATCAGACTTCCGCATTGTGTATCCTAAACTACTTCACATAAATCACCTGGCAGAATTATATATATATATATATATATATATATATATATATATATATATATATATGGGAAAAGTGAATATGGGGCTGTTATACACCTAGCATTAGGTGTGGAACCCATCAAACTATGTCGTTTTGAAGAAAAAAAAATTGAACCTTTATCTTACTCTTTTGCTTCACCTAATTTTTCCAAGTTTGGCTACTGATATCGAATAGACAAAAAAATATTTGTGATAAATAAAAATATCCAAGTTTGGCAACACGTGATTCTGTCAGTCTTGATGCCTCATCTTTCACCTAAACTGATACTCGCCAGATTTGGTTGTTGCACCCGTTGAAGGTTTGCAGGCAGCATATCTTCTAGAATCGACCACACCTACTCCACCAAAAAAAGATCTTCAGATATCATCTTACCCTGCTACTTAACTTTTTGTTCATTTATTAGATAATGAGCAGAGTGCAAACCTGGAGTTAGGCCGTTCGCCCTAGACCATGTATTATATAATAATTACATCATTCCCTCTTTCATTTCAATCTTCTCGTTTCTTGTTTTTCTTTCTATTTTTTATTGATGTGTTTGAACAATATGAATTGATGTTTAGGTTTAATTATTTGGTTGTGGATATTCTTAATTGGATCTCAATTATGTTCCGACTTTTATTGTTTTGTGTTTGGATCAGGTTTATTAGGACATGTAAACTTTTTCTATATCTATCAATCTTGTTGGTGTTTTTGCTAGTTGATTTGCTTCTTCATTGAAGGAGCAGTATCTAGGAACTCTATCTGGATTTTGGTAATGTTTGTTAATGGGTTGTTAGCTTTTAACTTTTTTAGGAAAATATAGAGATGCATAGAGCATACCAAGTGTTGTAAATATGCAATACCCTTAGTAAACTGAGGCATTATATGATTTGTTTATGTTCTAGTTTTATTTACATGCTATGTTGGTTCACTAAAATGGTTGTGATTGGAGTTCAGTTTTTAGCTCTTTATCATGTTGTTTACCTGTTTATAATTGGTTGATGTGCCGGCAATATATTCATCACCAAATGGATTCTAATTCCCTTCCTGATTTGAACTTAAGAAGGTTAAACTTAAGATCAGTAAAAAAAATTTGGAGAAAACATACTGAATTTAAGTAGCTGAATAGTGTGTGAATGGTTCGATTTTGTGTGTATTTTGGAGTCCCTTTTGTTGACAACTTTTGGGTATTTTAAGGCGAAAATGGCTCCTCATACATTATATATCATATTTTTGTGTAAATTTAACTAGCAGCTCTTACTGGTTACTGTTGGGCCAATGCTATATCCCATGGTGCTTGGTATACATTCTACACCCTACTGACACACATCCAGAATTCCACACTACTAAGAGAGCTCCCTTGTTGTGGTGCTGCAGCACTTAACAAATTTATAATTGGCATGCTTATCCAAAAGTGTGATGATGATGGAATTATGGCTAGTGGTAAAAGAGGCCAAAGATGGAATTTCGATGGTCGCACAATCGGGGAGCACCAGTCGCATGTACAGTTTTGAAACGAAAAAAAAAAAAATTGAATTTTAGGGTTTTGATTTGTTATGTACTTATGTAAAAGAATAAATTAAAGGTTTTGTTTTTTTTCTCAAAATAAGTTTGATGGATTCCACACCAAATGTTAGGGCATAACAGCCCCATATTCACTTTTCCTTATATATACATACATATATACATTATATATAAAGATATATGTATATAGTATTTCAATAAATCAAAAGTACATACCTGATCTGGGTCCCACGACCATCCTTCAGGTCCCTTAACTTTGATAACATAAGAACCCTACACCAAAGAAAATAAATATAAACACATATATTGAAGCTGAGCCTCTAAATGCAACTTGTGTAATATAATACAAGAAACCGTCCATAACAACCAAACACGTATTGATGCAATATGCCAAAGACAAAGAACAACAAAAAACTTTAATATTAATTACAATAGGACAAAAGGAAAAGGTGACCTTAAATCTCATGTAATCAATTCAAAGAGAACGTGACAGTATTCCCACTAATAAAGTTTATAAATTTGACTTCATGAAGATTAATTCAGGGGGAAGGTTAAAGTCCTAAACTACCAATCCTTTAGGGTATCCATATTTTCAGTTTTAGTAGTTCTGATGGTGGGTAGATAGTTTGAGCAGGGTGAAGTTAATGAGTGTGTGTGTGTGTGAGAGAGAGAGAGGGCAATAATGTGTCATCCACGATTATCATCTTAATTCCCCTCAAGATTCTCAGTGGAGTACCAAACTTAATGATGACTAAACAAGAACTTTGTTGGTTGATCATATAGACATCCTAGCATGCATAACATTTTATTTGGGATGGAGCCTGAGGGGAATATCATCTTTAATTAACCAGACCAGGTTAAACAAATGCATGGCAATTTTTGAGGTGATAACATTAACTTATGCCTAACCTTGATCATAACATGGTTTTCAAAGTCTAAAAACATGTTTTGTCGCAAAGTTTAAAATGATTCTACTATTTGGTTTTAGTTTCCAAAAGTACTGAAACTAAAAAGATGAATATTAAATTGAGTTAAAAACTATTAAAAACCGATTAGGTTGCAAGTTCATAGAACGTCGTGTGCCATGGTTAACGTTAGAAACATTTTTTTTTATTCTCCACGATTTATATACATAAAAAATTCAATAGAGAACGTTCAAACAATTTTAAGTTGAACCATCATAACTATATATAAATGTTAAAACAAATTAAATTAAACCATCATAATTTTATATCAACATTGAGACTCAAAATTATACTTTGAAAATTGAAATCATTAAAAAGTTAACATGAGGGGGTAAAAAGTTTTATCCTTCACTAATAGTGTATGTTATCACTGGATACAAACTTGCACACCATGAGTAAGTGAGTAGGCCAATAGTGTATGTTTCCGTACCTTCTCATAAACCGGGATGAAGTAGTAACCATTAGGAGCACATTGCGTTCTATCCTTCACCAAACCATCCAAGGTACGCAGCTCAACCTTTAGTTAGATAAATAGCATATTAGTAAGCACGGTTGTTTGGAGTTCTAAGACATCCCCAGCTATATATGTCCTCAAGTACATAATAGCTTCATCCATAATTACTTTGAATTTGGCGTAGACAAATTTAATTTGGAACTTTAAACAAAATTCCAGTGAAAACCGTAAGACTAAAATATTGCTTCAGTGAAATTAACTAGAAACTAATTTAGACTCATACCGCGATGTGTGAATAATTCAATTTCGCATCAGTTGGCTTCCTTGAGTTAATCAAAGACGACCTCGCCTACCAAGGTTAAAAGAAATTAAGCATAAATAAACTACAACTAGAAAGTATCAAAACATGTTATATACAGAGTCTGATGAAGAAGAAAGTCTGCACCTCGACAAAGCCACCGCAACCTTGGATCGCATCGGCAGAATCGAGTGCAACCACGTGTATTGAGAAGACGATAACGAAGAAGAAGCAGCGTAAGAATTTTTGGTCTTTGAGCACCATCTCACTTTCACCTACCACTAGTAAGAACAGATCTCAAAAAGGAGTATCGGATACCCAACATAAAAAGGATTAATTTGTGAGCGTATAGACAACAGACGACAGATGCAGATGCAGATGCAGACGCAGACGGAGGCGACGGAGGTTAATTCTTATAGAGATTTAGACTTTAGCCTGCCTTTGATCGTGCCGGACTGCCGGCCCTCTTAAACACCCTTGATAAGGGTCTAAGGACTAAGCCACTAAGGTTGATAGGCCCATTTGAGTAGCCCGTAACGAAGACCGAAACCCGAATACAAGTTCATTGCCTTATCTCATTTGTTCACATTCAATATTTTGAATAGAACCGATCTGATTGATATGCATAGCACGTTGGATTTTATTAAGGCTATTTCCAACGAAATTGTTGGCTTTTTATTTAAAATGTTTTTCATTTATTTTTGGGGTTATTTATATGTATTTTTTTATTATATATTAGGTTATTAGGTGTGACCGTGTGAGATCCATATATTACATGGGTTTATTTAAAAAAAATTAAATATAAAATTATAAACATTTGAAAAGTATGAATTTATAAGAAAAGTGAGAAAATATTGAATTATAAAAATTAAAGTGTTTTTTTTTACTCTTTTAAATTTAAACAAATAATTTAGATAAATAAATAAAGAAAATTAATGAATCTTTAATTTAGTACTTGTTTTAAAAAATTAGCTAAAATGAACCATTTTAAAAATATTATAGGAATGGTTCGTACATAACTAAAGTACATGAATGGTCCTGGTGTAAACTATTAAACAGGAATGACCCTTTATTTAAAAAAATTCAGATGAAACTTAAAGAGTAACAAAAATCAGATTAAAAAATATTGTTAAATAATTATCGAAAGTATAATGTTATAATTGGATGTTAGCAAAAACGTAAATAAATGGAAACATACACAGTAATTTGTAAATGGACAACCAACACAAATATAGCATTGGACTTTTGAAGTACAATTATAGCATTAAATATCAACGTACTTTCATTTTTTGAGAAAAAATGTTCATACCAGTTAGAGCATTGTAGTTTTAAAGTACAATGGTATAATCATAAGATTCTCTATATGTGTGCTGTAAAAACAAAAAAGTACAATGTTATAATCATAAGATTCTCTATGTGTGCACTGTACTTTCATAAGAGTAACTTTGTGTCCCCAAAGTTACTCTTATGAAAGTACAATGTTGTAATATGAAGTCTTTATGTGCATGTGTTGGAAATGGTCTGTGTTTAAGCAAATAAGAAAAAATAGGAAAAAAAATATTAAAATTAATAAGTAGGATGCTATTTCAAAAATAGTTCGTAAATACAACTTCAAAGCACAGTGGTTTAATAGAAAAAAAAATATTAATAAACAATTTACACAATTTAGGTGTAATGTAAGTAGGATGCTATATTTTACAAAACAGAGAAAGTACAATGTTATTTGTTGCCATTCAAGTAACATTGTAACGTCCCAATATTTCAAGTCAAAACTTTTGATATTTAATTTAAATATATAAACCATTTTCATAAAGTATCATCATAAAATCATTTGTTCCAAAAGGTTACATCCCAAAAAAAATCAGAGTATGATCAGAAACACAAAATCACATAATACGAAAGTTGTTGATGTGTGTACAGTGACGCTTTCGTCTTTCCACAATCATCTGAAGTATCTGAAAATTTTAATCCACAACTGCAAGTCAAAGCTTAGTGAGTTCCCCAAAATACCACACACCACAATTGTAACATCGGTCAAATTTATGTCAAAGATAATTCCCATAAATATAAAAAACACATATTATAATCAATTTACTTTAATCTTTAATGAAATTTTCATTCAACACTATAAGTCTATACGATTCCAAAAATATATAGAACGTCTAAATCTGACTTTGCATGAAGAAGTTATGATAAATTCTAACACTATAGCCTCTATAATAAGAGGAATTTAAAATAGACTTAGAATTAGCTACTAGAGTCTAAAAGAAAGTTGTAGTACTCAGAAATACCTACGTGTGGATATAAAGAACGTCAGAAATAGAGCTCGTATGCAAAAGTTATGATCTTCCGAAGATGTAGTTGTCTGAGAGCATTACACGTGGCAGAAACCCTAGCCACCTTGGTTCACGACGTGAACATGCATGTTCACGGCGTGAAAGTAGTCCAGGACACTAATCGAGACTAGAAAACACGTGTTAAGGCTACGGGAGGACTCATGGAAGCTCACGACGTAACCATATGTTTGTCACGACGTGAATGGGCCTTGAACAACCTATAAATAGCAAACGAGGCCCGTTCAATCGTTACACCTTCTACTTTCATTCTCTCTCGTTTTCTGAAGGTCGTTTCCCTTCCCGAGCCTGACAACGACGAGCTTCTGACCGTTTTTCAGTTAGATTCTATAGATCACGCTACTAGGGTGAATTTCACGGCCCCACTTTTTAATGTTTCCGGGGGAAAACGCATGTTAGATATTGTATACAAGTTAATATTAAGTTTATATGATAGTATATTCGTATCAACATAGATAGTTATATTAACCGGGATATAGTTGTTTTGTATTATATATACCTAGAATATATCTGATATATCTAAATCATACATCTATCTTAAACTTGTTAGCATATTGTTATCATAGATTTTACTAATATAGCCCCGGAGTTATACTCGGGAGTTCTATATATACTATTTGTGTTATAGCCTCGGAGTTATACTCGGGAGTTCTATATACTATTTTGTGTTACAGCCCAGAGTGATACTCGGGAGTTCTATATAGACTTGTTAAGTATGTTGCTATTATTGGTTTTATGTAGATAAAACCTAGTTTTACTTCAAGTTATAGTTGTTGTACTGCCTAAGTATTATAGAAATTAGGAGTAACGTTTAAAGCATAGTCTAGTAACTTAGGGTTTTCGACACGAATATGCTTTCACTATTAGAACTATAAGAACTCAACGAAGTCTACATGAGCTACCTTATACATCAACTAATATTTGAAATATTAGGGGAAATCCTTTGACCTGTAACCGCTAATCCTGTGAGAGCGAGGAAGTTGTGTATAGATTTATGCGGGTTAACACCCCCACCCGTGGTTGCTAGCTACAACCCGACGGTTTATTTCGGGTGACAAGGAAGTTGTGTATAGATCTATACGGGTTGACACCCCCACCCGTGGTTGCTAGCTATAACCCAACGGTTTGCGGGTGACGAACTTGCCCAATTTATTCAATTCCGACGTCGATGAAGTGTGCGGAATCTATTACCAAGGTGCGACACTTGTAGCACCAATCAGAGGTCTTGTATGTCATATAGCAGCGGTTATGGAATCATGGTAGCACAATTTTAGAAACATTATACTTTGTTGATATACAAGTATTAATGTTAAGTATAAGTTTCCTAAACAGTTATACTCTAAGTACAAGGAACTTGTAGGTATTTTACTTATTCATTAAGTAAACAATTATACCTAGCACACATACTCGTATAGAATTGAAATAATATTTATACGTAGCGATTTTTACTCGTATAGAATTGAAATAAGATTTATACGTAGCAACCTTCGTTTGTATGGGATTACAAACACTTATATTCATAATATATGAAACTTACATGTATACTACTTATTTAGTAAGTAAACCATTATACCTAGGATATATATACTATATGTTAGAAACAAGTATGAGTCAGAATGATATTTTCAAACTATGTTCTATACTTTTGAAACTTGGAAAAAGTACTATTTTTACTCATAGTCATAACCTATGG